AAACTAAAACAATGAAATGGCATACTTCAGCAGTTTTAAATAAAACTGAGCACTCATTTACTAGATCTGTATCATTTATGATAATAAGGTGCATGTACTTATGACAGCTAAATACCTGCAGGTCAGTGCACTATTTCTGAATAGCATACCAGAGATAATGATTCAATTAAGAACTCTTTATAGATACCAACCTTAAGACATAAATATAAAGATATATGATGACAGTAAGGAAAAATGATTATCAAAAACACACATTATGAAGGATGACACAAACCTGTTGCGTTATTACACCAATTGCAGAGAGCAGAGGTTCAAAGATCACATGAGCCTCAAGGAAATGGGCACCCTGAGGCTCAGGCATTATGTTTGAGTCCTTAATAGGATGATGCTCACGGCGATCACTGCCTCCTTCATTTACTGTATGAAGGCCACTTTGCTGTTAAGAGACAGGGCATATATGAACAATTTGCCAATCTGTTATAAAAACAAATATAATAATAATGATATTAACCTTTTTCTGGTTAGTCTCTCCCTACAAAATAAAAAAGTTGTTGTTACAGTCTAGGGAGAATGTAATAAACATTTTTTGTGTAGCAATCACAACTATTTGTCAAAATACTTACATGAGGAAAAGTCACAGTGGGTTTAGTACCATCATTGACATGTGTGTATTCCTGCTGCCGCACCATCCAATTGTAAAGATCATCATGATCTTTCTCACAACCCACTGTGGGAGGCCGACTCGGTGTTCCTATACCTGATCCCCCAACACCTTCACAACTAGATGAAGAAATTTGATCTGAACCAGAGGTGTGGCTGCCCCTACTACGATCATCTGCTGCTCCACCACGAGCCTGGTTGCCTCCACGCAAAAATCCCAGGTGTCCACCAATACCTGCTCCAATTTTTGGAAACTGAAATCTAAAGACAAAAAATTAATTTAGTGAAAAAAGGAATACCAGGATGACTTAAGAATTCCTGCACATGCAAACTAGATAAAAAAATTAAATTCCATCTTCTCAACTGTGCATTCATACTCCAAATGCAAGCATAAATTCACACAAAGGTACAAGCATATTTGGTGACTAACCAATGATCACTATAAAAGCATCGTACCTAGCAGGGGATTCAAAGTTGGTGTTGAAAACAGGCAGAATGACTGATGCCCTTGAAGACCGAGGTGGATAGGACGGGAGCGAGCGTCTGGGAGGGAGCTGGGTCGAACTGGAACTCAATACTCCCTCAGTGACATCTTCACCTCCAATAGTGCCACTCCCATCTGAATCTTTCAAGGAAAGGTACAGCACTCAAATAAAGATGTATACATAGGTCTAAATGAAGTTTTCATATTCTTAAAAATTTGGACTTTATAATTCAATTATCCATCAAATAAAATGTCTAAGAATACTTTATATAAGAAAAGATAATCAGCATGCAAAACTGTATCACTCATGAAGAAAAGATTCAAATGCAGTAAAGGAGTGAATTGAAAAGAATTATATCTATATATCTATCTATATATATATATATATATATATATATATATATATATATATATATATATATATATATATATTATATATATATATATATATATATATATATATATATATATATAA